ACATGTGGTTATAGCTAAAGCCCTGTATTCAACCTTTGAGGAAGATCTGGATATAGTAGACTGCTTCTTGGATTTCCAACTGATCAAAGAAGAGCCATAAAACACATTGAAACATGTGACATACCTTCTTGTATCAGGGCATGAAGCCCAATCAGAATCACTAAAAGCACTCAAAGTAGTGTTCTTCTGAGCTGAGAAGAACAATCCCTGACTTGGAGCTCCTTTGATGTACTTGAGAACCCTTAGTGCAGCTGTATGATGCTCAAGCATAGGCTTAGACAAATATTGACTCAAAGTGTTCACTGCATAACAAATGTCAGGCCTAGTATTTGTGAGATAAATCAATATCCCTATCAATCTCCTATAAGACTTAACATCCTCATATGGGTGATCTGTGACGGCTTGGAGCTTAATGCTAGGATTCATTGGTGTTGTAACTGGCTGGCAGGCAAGCAAGCCTGAATCATTAAGTAATTCAAGAGCATACTTCCTCTGTGACAAGACCAAACCTTCATGAGATCTAGCCACTTCTAACCCAAGAAGAATTTCAGATTGCCTAGATCTTTGATCTTGAACTGAGCATCCAATTGAGCTTTGACATGAACAATTTCTGTCAGGTCAGAGCCAGCTAGAACAATGTCATCAACATAAACCAATAAAACGGTAATATGAATAGAAGTTTTATTGACAAACAGAGAGTAATCAGACCTAGATTGCACATAACCAAGAGCAACTAAGGAAGAAGTAAGCATATCATTCCATTGTCTGCTAGCTTGCTTAAGTCCATATAGACTTTTTAGTAACTTGCAAACCTGTGTAGGTTGTGCAGCCTGATAACCCTGAGGTAATGACATATACACCTCCTCTTCTAGATTCCCATGCAAAAATGCATTGTTTACATCGAGTTGATGAAGGTACCAGTTATGAACAGTAGCCATTGCCAAAACTAATCTGACTGTGGTCATCTTCATAACAGGAGAGAAAGTCTCAAAGTAATCCAAGCCATGCTCTTGTGTGTAACCTTTAGCCACCAAACGAGCCTTATATCTTTCTATGGTGCCATCAGCAAACCTTTTGATTTTAAACACCCATTTGCAACCTATGGGTTTCTTCCCTGGAGGTAAATCAGTAAGGATCCAGGTCTTAGTAGTCTCAAGAGCTTGGATCTCCAAATTCATAGCTTGTCTCCATTCCTCTGACTTAATTGCCTGAGAATAACTCCTTGGCTCAACAACCTGAGAGATTGACAAGGTATATGCCCTATGTGATGAAGACAAGTGATCATAAGACACAAAGTTTGTTAGTGGATACAACACATTGGGAGATTGAGAAACCTGAGAAACCTGAGAATTCTGAGAAGGAACCAAAGCAAGATTACAATGATAATCTTGTAAGTAAGCAGGTTTGGTTTTGGGTCTAGAAGAAGATCTGAGAACAAGTTGTGGAGGTAGAGCAGGTTCAGGGTGTGGTAATTGTTCATCAGATAAAGAAGGAGAATAAGAGCTGGTAGGTAAAACCAAAGAATTTAGGGAAGTCACATTATGATCCTTGTCAAGATGCTGAAAAGGAAACATATTCTCATAAAAAATAACATGCCTTGACAAAAAAACCTGTCTTGTTCCCAAATCCATGAGTAAAAAACCTTTAACTCCTTCTTTCAAACCAAGTAAGATGCATTTTCTTGCTCTAGGTTTAAAATTAGTTCTATGAGCAAGTAAAGTAGTGGCATAACAAAGAGAGCCAAAAACTCTTAAGGAAGAGATATCAGGTTTGGTGTTAAAAAGAATTTGATATGGTGAAGCATTTTGCAAAACTTTTGTTGGTAAAACATTAATGATATACACTGCATGACTTACAGCATATGACCAAAACTCAAGAGATAAATTGGATTGGAAAAGCAAAGCACGAGACACATTTAATATGTGTTGGTGTTTGCGTTCCACAATCCCATTTTGCTGTGGGATTTCCACACAAGTCAATTGATGTTGTATCCCATGCAAATTGTAAAAATCACACATTGAAAATTCAACACCATTATCACTTCTAACAATTTTCACAGATTTCTGAAATTGAGTTTTCACAAAAATAATAAAACTCTTTAAAGAAGGACGAGCTGCAGCTTTTGTATCAAGAAATTTTACCCAAGTATAATGGGATTTATCATCAACAATAGTTAAGAAAAACCTAGCACCAGTAATAGATGGAACACTATATGGTCCCCATATATCCACATGAAATAGATCAAACACATTTTCTGAAAGTGTAGTACTCAATGTAAAAGGAAATTTCTTTTGTTTTGCAAAATGACAAGTCTCACAATGTTTATTAACAGTGGAAGATACAACAGGATACATGGAATGTAAAATGTGATAACAAGAGAGTGAGGGATGGCCAAATCTATAATGCCAAATATTAGGCATACTAACTGGTGCAGAAACAACATTATTCACAGAATGAAAAGTAGACAAAGGCTTAACAGTATGAAGAGGTGGTAAATCCATGATATAAAGTCCCTTGCGGTTCTCAGCTTTCCCAATCATCTTCAATGTGATTGTGTCCTGAATATAACAAGCAAAGTGAGTTAAGAGCACATTACATTGAAGTTGCTTGGTAAGTTTATCAATAGACACTAAGTTTACTGAAAACTCAGGAACATATAACACATTATACAATGTCAAAGTAGGTGTCAAGTATATAGTTCCTATATGACGAGCATAAGCATGTTGGCCATTTGGTAAATTAACAAATACTGGAGGTATAGCTCTATAAGAAGAGAACAAATGAAGAGAGCTAGCAAAGTGATCAGTTGCACCACAATCCATGATCCACCTTACAAACAAGTTACCTAAGGCCCTTGTGGGAGCAAGAGGGCTATTCAGCAGATTACAAACATATTTACCTAATTCAGATGCTTGAATCTGATGATTGCTCACAAGATTGGAAGCATGAGGAGTAGCAGTAGGTGTATGCTGAGGTAGAAGAGCCAGAAGACTCTGAAATTTCTCCCTTGTAAACTCCATAGATGAAGAGGGAAGACCCTGCTCAGATTGGTCATCAGAATCACCTCCAGAAGATACATGATTGACTTTCTTAGGCTTATACCCACTGGGAAAACCAGGAGGATAACCATGCTTCATGAAACAAGTATCCACAGTATGATTATTCCTCCCACAGTGTGTACAATGTCTCTGGCCAGAAGACTTAGCTTGACCCTTAGAATAAAATGGCTTTCCCCTGCCATATCCAGAACCATTGGAACTTGTAGAACCATTAGATGGTGAAGCTTGCACTACTAAAGCTGAGGGCTCAGGAAGAGTACCAATTGACAATTGACGCTCATGCTGAATTATCATTGAAAAAATCTTGGACAAATTCGGTAAAGGCTCCATCAGAAGAATCTGAGACCTCACAGCAGCATAGTTATCATTCAATCCACGCAGAAAACAAAGAACACAATCATTGTCCCTATACTCTTGCAGTTTCTTCACAGAATCACAACAACAAGAGTTCGGTGTTGAACACAATGGAATTGGGCGATAATTGCATAACTCATCCCACAGAATTTTTAACTTTGTATAGTAGGCAGTAACTGTAAGATCAGATTGCTGTGAAGTATACAAGTCAGAGTGGATTTGAGAGATTCTTACTGAGTCGCCTTAAGAGAAACGGTTCTTCAAATCCTGCCAAGCACCAGAAGCTTTATCAATCCATATGATGCTTGTTGCAATCTCCTGAGACACAGAATGATTAATCCAAGAAAGCACCAAATTGTTGCATCGCTTCCACGCTGGAAGAATCACATCTGTATCAGTTGGACGAGGGATAGAACCATCTGCAAACCCAAATTTGTTCTTCATTTGCAGAGACATTTCCATTGCTCTTGCCCAAGCATGGTAATTGTGTCCTTCAAGAATTGGAGACACCAAAACTAGAGACGGATTTTCATTCGGGTGAATGTAATAATCGTGTGTGACATCTTGCAAATTCGCAAGAGTTACAGGAGCACGAGCCGCCATTGAAGAGAAAAACAGAGATGAAGAATCGTGCAGGAATCACAATCGCAAACCCTAGAAGCACAATCGCACAATCTCAAGAAACCCATAAATTGAACTCTGGAAGAAGAAACGTTTCACAAATTCACTGAACAATCAAAGAAATTGGACAGAAAAATCAATGAAAGCAAAGAGAAATCATCAAGAAAAAACGATGAATCTGATGAGAATGCATCGTGAGAACGATGAAAGGGAAAAGATGCGGAAAAGTTTCAAGAAATTTCAGAGAAAAAACTGATACCATGTTAACAGATGAAATAGAATGAAATTCATCTTACTTTCCATTCATGTGTTAGAATCATTTATACAATCACTAATCAGAAAACAAACTACAACTAATCTAACTAATTCGGTTAGAGACTAAACTAACTCTAACAACCTTGCTGACTCAGCAAGTATACAATAACAATACATGAATAAACAATCTCTATTACAACCTGCTCTTATATTATGCTTTTCACTTTTAAGAGTTTTGTGAACTTCTATATTATCAATTTAGATAATCAATTTATCGTATTCACTTCTAAAAGAAAAAGCTACACCTTCTAGAACTTTCCAAAATTTTGTTTGAAAGATTAAACATTTTTTGTCTCATCAAAAATGTCATCATTTGATTTTATAATTGAATTTGAATCTTTTGGATCAGTCGTGAAAAGAACATTGCTTTCATTTTAATTAAAAAAATTATTAAAAAATAATATTTAACAATATTGTAAACAAGAGAAAAGAAAAAATATTGAACAATCAAAATATAAATTCATAAAATACTTAAATGGTTTTGATGTACCAAATCTAGTGCAAGAAATATGAAGAAAATGGTTAAGATGTAACTTTGACAAAAAAAAACTATATTAATGTATTTGATGGAAATATAATAATCAATTTAAGAAAAGATGATTTTCAACCAATTTATTTAATTCATCTTCTCACAAGAATCTCAACCACTCTTTATTTGAATATGAAATACCAGTCCATATTCCTTTCTGGATAACCTGCATATTACAAATATTGATAATCAAGTAAAAAGAGTGTTAGTATCAACACCTCTAAAAAATGTATTTGTATCAATATTCGAAATCGATATCTACATGTTACTGCCAATGTCAGTGTCAATGTGATTGTCGTATTTTCTAAATTCATGTTTCATTACTTGTAGTAAAATTTTGAAAATATTACCAAGAAATTAATTAATATGACCAAATATAATTACCTAATGCCTTCATCAATCTAACATAGGGGTCGGCCGAAAGACCCGTGGCCTCATATGTGGGATGATATAGAGAATTTGGAATTTGACTGAAAAATAAAACATTCAAAATTAAAGAGAAAAATAAATGTTTAAATATTGTGTGTGTTTGAGATATTTGAAGGATAAGTACTTGGCTTCAGAGGTGCCAATTGGAAGATTATAGTTCCTCCTTTCCATTAATCGAGAAGTGTTGTTTGAAGCAATAGGGTTCCTCACTTCCATTAATCTAGAGGTGTTGTTAGAAGCATTATAGTTTCTTACTTCATTTGCAACAATAATTCCAGAAGGTGGGTCCTTCTGCAAACCACTCAAAAGTTAAAATAAATCAATTAAGAAAAATATAATACGAACATATTTTTTTGGTAAAATAGTCTTTTTGGTTCTGTATGTTAACGTCAAAGTTTATTTTGACCCCTTAACTTAAAAAATGTTCACATTGATCCCTTAACTCTTCAAAACACTCCATTTTAGTCTTTTTTGTCTAATTAGCGACAGAAAAACTCAGAAATCGATCGCTAAATTCGTCGCTAATTAGACAAAAGGACTAAAATGAAGCATTTTGAAGAGTTAAGGGACCAATATAAACTTTTTTAAAGTTAAGAGATCAAAATGAACCTTGACGTTAACATACAAGACCAAAAAGGGTATTTTAATTTTTTTATAGAAATCGGATACTCTGTGTGTAACTGAGTAATTTAACACTAGAATATGTTCAAAGGTGTGTTTGAATTCATGACTGCTGTTAATAAGGGTTGTCTTTGAGGTCGTCTAAGGCAGACTATCAAATATGACCCAACATTTGCCGCAGTTAAATTGTAGTTAAATGAAACTTTAAATGTTTATCACAATAAAAATGTAGTTAAATATGATCTGTATTTATTTTGTCATGTTTAAACTGTGACTAATTTACACGAGGCCTCTACAAATCTGAGATGGCTCAATTGGTCAAATTGGAAGAAATCTCTTACCATTTTATAACTAATTTTGATGTGTCTGATAAAAATTGTTACCTTTTGATGTTTAGCAGTGGAAGACTCTCCAACTTCAATGGTTCGTTTCAAAGGACGATCATCCCAATGTTGCATTACTATCGGTTGCTGTAATTCAAGATGTTGTTAATATTTTATATTATTATTGGTGGCTCAAATTAATTAAAATAAATAAATTATGTTATTTTGGGAATTTTACCTTTCCTAATGAAATGCTCATTTTTCTCTGAGGATCAGTAGCATGCTCACTTGCAATATTGTGAATTTGCTCCCTATAAAAAATTAATTCAACCATATAAATAACATGAAATCTTAAAAAATTTAAATGTTTTGAAAGAGTATTGAAGAAACCAAAATTATAGATAATATCAAACAATTTGTTACCTTAAAGACAGAGTTAATGTTGTGTCATATTCTTCTTCTTCTTCCGCAGCTCTTGCAGTAATAGGGCTGCCAAGTTTAACCTGTCCACCCATTGCTTCTTCAAGCCTAGATAAGTTGAATAATTCATATTAATAATAAAAATGATGGAAAAACATCAAATAATATAAGAAAAATGCTTGTAAAACTAGATCACAAATGTAAGCATAAAGTGTAATCTCAGTATAACTTAGTGAACACATTCTATTATGTTTTCATAAATTTTGAAACTCTAACAAGTATAAATGAAATTATTGAAAAATGTATATTGTTAATTAAACTATATTGCAATAATTACCACTAATTATTTCTCTATATAACCCCATATTAAAATTTTACATTTAAACATAATATAAGATGTATGTGCACCACCTCAAATTATAAGTTGTTTTCAAGAAAAAAATCATCTACAATCATAAATCACTTTACAATTAAAAATAAATATTTGATTTTCTATAATACATGTTATTGTAAATCAAAGGATCCAAACGTACATAAAAATGATACATGAAACAAAGAATAATGAAAATCAAATTAAATAGTTTAAACAATAAGTAATCTCTCAATATAGTGTATGCAAAACCACTAGCTAACAAGAATAAAAATAAAAGTAGAGAATCAACCTATACAAAAAAATATTTATTTAGTTCGATACAAATTAATCTACTATAAGGGAGAGAGTCGTTTTCCAATCCGCTATCAATCTAGAGTTTTCAACAAAAGATTATAAATGATTGGGGAGTAATAGTCATACACAAAATCCACAAAGATATTTCTAATGTCCACTTTTTTGCATTGTCTGTATCCACATATCCCTTCAAATTGACTTTCCCTTGAACTGATCATGTGTAATTCAAACCTCCTATTGAGGATCTGTGCAAATATCTCAATAACCAATTTAAAGCTTCACAATACACTCAACCTAGATTTAGCATAAATATACTTAATATTTTAAGTTTGTTCCTGTACAAACTAACACATACATGATGCTTTCAATCACTCTCGCATAAGGATTATTCTCCATATCTTTCTTTTCATTCTCAATTTAAGGATATTGCATGACTAAATGCTAAATATGATTACCTAAACAAGTGTCCATGGTTTAATATCAAGAATTCTAAATCATTCCACCACTTATCCATCTCAAGTATCCTCTTATCCTCACTAAGGTATTTCATCTCATATTCTCAATTCAATATTTCCTTGAACTTATCGATTTATTTTGTGTTATAGTTTTCCATCAAAATATCATCAACATATATAAGTAGGTATATAATGAATTTATTATTTCTCTTTGATATCTATACACAATTGTCATCCCATTTATCACAAAACCACACTTTTAAAGAAATTCATCAAATCAATGATGTTATTGCTTAGCATTTTGCTTTAACTTATACAAATATTTCTTCAAAAGATACACCTTAGGATTGTCCTCAACAAAACCCTCAGGTTGCTCCAGGTAAATTATCTCTTTAAGGTCTCCATATGATAAAGTGGTCTTAACATCCATTTATTCCACATCAAGATTATATTGATTCATGATAACCATTAAGTCCTTTATGGAATAATTCATGAAAATAAGTGAAAATATTTTATTGTAATCCATCTTTTCCACCTAAGTAAAACCATTTTCCACAAGTCTTTCTGTGTACCATGGTTATTTAATTCACAGAATACATGCATTCACCTTGAAGATCTACTTGAATTCAACCATCATTTGTCTCTTATGTAGTCTCACAAGTTCTAGAGTGTGGTTCTTATCCAATGAATTCATTTCCTCATTCACCACCTTCAAACATTTTTACTCTCTTTTATTTCAAATGCATCCTTGGAGATATTTGGTTTTGATCCTTATAATACTCCATCCACATTTGAAGCATAATAAATAATATCAGCATAACCATATCTTTGAGATAGTACAATACCCATCCTTATCATATCATGTGCCAATAAATAGTCTAGAGTTATTGTAGTTTGCACTTATCTAGGACTATAGGTGGGAACCTCCATATCCTCATTATCTTTAGACTCACTACTAATAACCTTCAGCTTAACATGAGCTTTGTCCACCTTAGTTTCTATAAGTCCTTAACTTTCATGTCTTCCCACTTCATCTCTATACAAGTATCATCAAAATTGACAATTTTACATAAAAATGCGATCCTCTTGGTTCTATTCCACGATTTGTATACCTTCATAAATTCAAGATAGCCAACTAACACACAAATCACAACTCTAGCATTAAGCTTGTATGGCTCAATATGTGGAAATGGAAAAGGTATGAAACCTTTAAATTAGAGTAGTCAATTGGTTTTACACTCTAAACCTCAATAGGTGGTTAAGGCCTATTTCTTAATATTGACATATGATGATAAAATATGTTGCAATGCTAAAAGCTTCAACTCAAACAATTGGGTAACTCACCTCCAAACAACATTCAATTTACCTAATTCAAAATTCTCATAATCATATGTTCTTATAGGCCATTTTCTTGTTGTGTGCCAACTATGACTTTATGCAGCCTTATACATTATTCCTTCAAAACTTATTAAAATATTTTTGAAATAAACTTTAGGTCTTTGTAAGTTCTTGAAAATTTTCAATTTAGATCTCATTTGATTTCCTACAAGGCTTGTAATTTCATTTGATAATTTTAATGCATAACCAATAACAGTGAAACCATCCAAAACATACAAACCATACATTTTGAAGCCTTTTGCAATAATAAATGCACCATGCAAAATTCTTAGCATGTCATGTTAAATTCTAGTACAATAGTATAAGTCATCAAACATGCTTATGTACAACCAATTTCACATAAGTTCAGAAACATGCCTCAATTTACATAAAAGGAACTCAGAGATGTCAAACATATTAAGATAAATCGCTCTAATATCATGAACCTTACAAGCCTTATCATTTCAGAGTTGAACTCATCCTACTCATTTTAGCTTCAAAGTATTAAAAGTGTTTATCTCTTGGACATATGTGATAAAGGCATCATGATTCCATGACCCAACTTTTCTTTATTTTCAAACTTGTTACAACTAGTTCACCATCACTCTCATTACCATCCTCATCTGAGGCAACCACACTCTAGATAGAATCATTATTTCTCCCCATCTCTATATTACCCTTTTTTAAGAGGTAGATTTTATAAAAATTGAGACATTTCTCCTTTGATTTGTTGAACCCCTTGAACATGAACTTATACATAGATTGCAACTCATTTTGATTTTGTTTACTCTCATTCCCCCTCTTGTAACATTCAAGTCTTCTCTATTATCTTCAATCTTCAAGTATTTAAACCTTGTAATATTCATGTTTCTAGTCTCTGACTAAACCTATTCTAAGATAATATTTTTTTCTTTACCAAAATAAAGGAATACTTAAAATTTTCAAAATAGCTAGACAAAGAGTTCAACAAGAGTAGAGGCTTTATCCTCATTATCAACTTTCACCTTAATATTTTGCAAGTTAACAATACTTTTATGGAATTCCATCAACTGTTATACAATGTATTTTTTTCCATAATCCTATATAAATAGAATTGTTTTTTCATACATTACCTAAGAGCCAATGACTTGGTCATATATAAAAATCCATGTTTGACCAACATTTTTGATACAGACTTCTCCTCTATGAAATTCCTCAATATTTTATCTCAGCTACAAGACTATGGCACTCCTGGCCTTAACCACTATCTTGGTCTTCTATTTTTGTGTTAGACTTATTAACATCAGTGTGTCACTTTGTGCTAGACTTATCGAAATTTTTTGTGTCTTTACTTTCTATAACCCTCAAAATTGTTGTCTCTAATTTTTTTTTATATCCCATTTAGAATCCATGGTTCTCTTTCGTAAACATGGAACCTTTTCTACATGGTGGATGCACTTGTCATGAAATGAAAGATTCAAAAATACCAAGAAAAATTATGTGTGGGACTAAGAACATTGACAACTAAACTAAACAAATCAAGCATTAGTTAATCTATCAACATAGTGTATGCAAAACCACAAGCTATCAAGAGTAAAGATAAAAGTAGATAATCAACGCAGAAACAAGTTATTTACCTACTTCCATAAGTAATTCTATTATGGATGATAGAAAACTCTCTAATCCACTACAAATCAAGAATCTTCAATAAAAGATTACAATTGAGTTACAAGAATCATTAAGTACATTATTCATTAAATCCCATTAAATTTCAAGGTGTGTGAAAGTGTCTCTCAATTCTTAGATTACAACTAAAGATCTTTTAACTCTTTGAATTAGAAAATTTAATAATCTTTCTCTTTGTCTCTATAAGTTATTTAGAAAACTTATATGTTTTCAAAACATATAGAAAACAAATTAAGAATGAAACAAAGATTGAGATATTTCTTTGCTCTCTTGTCACCTGCCTCACATTTTCCCTAACAGCACTACACTCGCCCCACGTCTCACTTTATTTTTGCTCCCATATGATGCATAATTGAAATCTTGATAAAATAGTTCATCACCCACCTCACATCCCTTGTTGGAAGCCTCACAGATCAGGAAGAACATGAATGTTGATATTTACTAAGATTTCTAAGGTACAATATACATCTTTTACTTTTTAATACTCATTATTTTTCGTATTATTTAAATTTATCTTTTTAATATGAACTAGGATGCGAGAAATTGTCATTTGAAAAATATCTTCATATTCTAAGGCTTTATGTGTCGTCATGATATAGAAAATTTAAAGATTCACTACAAATAAAGCCTAGATGATTATATCTAAAAGTAAAATTGCACATTGTTTCTCTACGTCTATAATACTTCATGCCTACAGAAGATAGACTCTGACACACGCCTAACATGACAAGTTTATATTGTTATATAAAGAAAGCAATAACAAGTGATATAATATGTGCACTGGTTCACAGATATCCTATGACTGTCTTAGTTCTCTAGCATATGTCATACAAGACTCGCACTGATTCACAAATATCGTACAATATCATATGAGTGTCATACATCTAAGCATGTATACATGAAGCTTATAGTAGAATCTTATAATTAAGGATTAGAGTTTATCTATTCCTCCAAGAGATTATTAAAAAAATTAAACTGAAAACACAAGAACTCAAAAGGATTAGAAGGATAATGTAACATGGGTCTATAAACATGTTCATGACAAGGAATATTAGTTGGCATTGTGAGATTACCAAAATTAATAAATTAGAGTTTGCTCTCTAACGAATAATATTAACAAAGTGTTTAGCATTTTTATAAAGTTTTCAATTAGATATTGATAAAATATACACAATAAAATTGACTTAATGAAAAGAACATCCCACAAACTAGAACTTTAGTAGAAAGGATTAAATGGGTGGATAAGAAAATACTCTGGAAATGAAGATTGCAATTCAAAAAGCATCCGTTCTTCAGCAGCAAGATCATCTCCATTCAATAGAGAACTGAATGTGATTGGTTGGGGCAGCCTACAAAATACAAAATTGGTATACATATTTACTTGATTAATCATTTATCAAAATATGGATTGCGGTTCGCCGCACTCAATGAGAGAACGCACATAGTTATAAACTCGTGATTATTCGACCGATATCAAACCTTTTATATTTTAAAACTATTATATTTTATTATTTTAAAAATCAAACTTGTATAATATTTAAACCTTATGATCTCAATCTAATAACTATAAATATTTTGACTATGTGAATGCAAAATTTTCTCACTTCAATTAATGAAGTTTTTCAAAATGTATAATATTATGAATTTGACAAGATATAGGAGAGTCATACATCATTGGTGTATCAATGACTTCAGGTAGAGGGGATTGAGAAGGGATTTGATTTAGATTGAATCCTCTATCGGTCTTTTCTCTCCCATGACCATCCTAAACAACATATAAAATTAAGTGTTATAATAAACAAATTTGCAAATAATTATAAAATATAATTCATAACAGTGAAAGTTCGCATGTAAAACATATATGTTAATTAGCTTTTATTCATATCATCTAAATTTACAAATCAGACTCATAAATCAAGTATATAAAATTATAGAGGAGCACATGACAATTTCATAAAAGAACACATGTAATTCACTCTAACTTTGTTTTAAATAACAAAATAAAAATAATAAGATAAAAATATATAGATTGAATTAGATTTTTAGTCCTTAACTTAATTATAAGTTTGTGTTAGCTTTGAAAATAATATTTATTACTTTTTTCCATTAGCTATATCTCTATTATTCAAATTAATCATTTTCTTTAAAATTAGCAAAATATAATTTTTTTTTAATATCATATATGAAGTGACAAATGACTTATGAGGTGATATTAAATGACTCATAGCTAACTTAAAATTAAGTACTAAAAGTTAAATTTTAATTTCCTCTACATCTTCATCATATTTTCATAAATCTTTTGTTATCAAATCAAATCAAAATTCTAGAAATTCTAAATTATGTTTCAAAAACAAAAATAAACCCTAAATAATTTAAATTCAAATATCTCAAATTAAATTCATAGATGCCTAAATAATATCAAATTGCATAAATTAGTAATAGATACATAATATGTAATAAAATTAAATCAAGTTGGTGTGAAAATTATAAACAATACAATATTCAAAAAGCATGTGATTTTTATTTCTTCCGGGTATTTTATTTTTATAAGCAATGCATATTTTTAAATTGGGAATATGAGAAGGGTATGTTGGTAAAATTTAACATGAGTTAATTGAGGGTTATGAATAACATTTATAAATATGGTGTTTTTAAATCTGCAGCTGCATGTGCGTGCATTCTGTGTATAAGAGTGTGTTTTTTTCCTCTTTCATCATGTCTCTCACTATAAAACCTTTTCCTAACACAATTACTTCTTCATTGTATTTCATTCCTAACCACCCAAGCATTGGTCATTCTTACATTCTTGTTGAAATTAAGAATTTTTCAATGATTTATCGAAAAACTACTTAAAAAGGAGAAAATAAATCTCCTAACACCATGCGCTGTAACCAACTCATTTTAAAAAAAGATAAAATCATTATGGATCATCCAAATGAAACAAACCATTTAAATCCACATTATACTTAAGCCAATAATAACTCTTTTACCCCCTACTACCCCCAAGCCCATCAAAACGATTGACAACTTGGTGGTATAACCACCTTTTAGTCCAACAACTTAAAAATATCACACCAAAGAACATAATTAGTCAACTAGGTCAATCTTTTGATCAGATTAAAAAAACCTCATGTAAATCTTACAAAGACACAAAAAATAATAAGAGGTACAAGATTCCTTTGTGCGAAGCAAAAAGACAAATTTCCACCAAGAGGATACCATACTAAAATCTCGTTGGCGAACATTTAAGGGTGATAGCCCCTGTTGGAAGCCATACTGAGCAACAATAACTTCCCTCCAACTGGAAGGTCCCTTCCATAATCAACCTACAACGCCACTTATCTCAAAGTTCCAGGTTGACCAACCTCATATCCCTATCACCTAGGCTTTCCATCTTCTTAGGCTCAAAAACATCCTCATCAATATACCCAAACATTTTTGGAATTCTCCTTGGAACCGCACCAAAGGAAGCTCTTCTTAAATCTAGAATATGACTCTAAACTTTGGTCAACATATTCATAAAAGAAAGATAGAAGATATGTATAGACCTCAAAACCAAGTTAGTAATAAAAATCTCCCCTCGTGCTAACAAGCTCATTTCTCTATGAGACAAGAATTTTAGAGATAAGGTTAATCATAGGCTTCCAAATAGAAACCCTCTTAGGGTTGACCTCAAAAACAAGGCTAGGCTACCCATCATACAATTAAGGAATCACTCGTCCAACCCCATAAAATATGGACACACTTTATGACCTAATAAATTTTTTTAAAGGTCAACTTGAAGAACTGGTGTCAACTTAAAGCTACAAGGGATAACCTTAATTGTATAAAGGTTGTCCATTGAAATCTCTATTAGAATAATGATATCATAATTAACTACATATGAGATACCATGAGGCCCTCGATGTGCATCTTGAACTCCCACATGGATTCTTTCATCCTCCGCACACCTCATATAAGTACTCAGACCTTTAACCATCAGAAGGAAAAGGAAGGATGCAAATGAGTCACACTATATGAGCCATGTATGAATACTTATTTCCTTTGTTAAGCAACCATTAACTATAAAGAAGAGATTCCTTAAAATATTCACACATTCATCTAAGCCTTCCACCTCCCACAAAACCCTACATCTTCGGCATACAATTAAGAAATATCCAGTTAACTGAATCTTACACACTTTCAAAATTCACCTTGAAACTAAACAATATTTTCTTAGACTTCTTAGCAAATTCCAAAAATTCGTTCATATCCACGACTGCATCCATCAGTTTCTACCTTTAGTGAAAGTCAGATGGTTGGTAGAGATGAGTTTGCCTATTACTAAGGCAAATCTAAGTGCTATGAATTTAGCTTACAATCATACATGGACCTAAAGAGAGGTGTGGGTCTAAAGTTTTCGAGAGAAAATAGGAAGTCTACCTAAGAGATCAGGATTATTAATTAACATAAGAGACTCCTTAGAAAATTAATATAACGGAAGAAGTTATCAAACACTGACCCGATTTCACTTCTAAGGAAAATTTATAGCCTCTTAAATAGAGAGAAATTGAACCCATCTAACATGAGACTCTTTCTACCATCTAGTTGTGCCACCACTACGTCTATCCCTCAACAAAAAAGAAGAAGATATGGCCAAATAATTAATTAATGATAAGGTTACATTAATAATCTTCTCAAATTTTGATCGTTCATATAAATAATCAGAGTAATGGTGGGTAAAGAACATCTCAACCTCTTCACGAACCTCCTTCTCCTTTTCCATCCCGAATTTCTTCACTTGAAGGGTTAAAATCAAGTTTCATATATATTAAATACATAATTACTAGAGTTTCAAAAATATTTACTAGATTTTTCATGAGGCTAGAGCAACTACAAACTTAGCCCAAAATTCTTTAGTATTTTGAAAGTGGAGAATTTAATATTGAAATTATTTAGGAGAGTTTTGTATATATTGATGTCTGAATTGAGATTACAAGGAAAGAAAATACAATCCTGAGAAGAAAGACAAAAAAAAAGTAATTATTTAACTATACAGAAACATATATTAAAAAAAAAATTAGTGTTGATTGATATAATATAGTTGAATTAACAAAATATATATATATATATATATATATATATATATATATATATATATATATATATATATATATATATATATATATATATATATATATATATATATATATATATATATATATATATATATATATATATATTTTGAAGTATATAAACATTAAAAAATTTAGAAAAATTAATGAGAATACAAACGTGTCTTGTCTCTTTAATAATAATTCCTTTTAAATATATAATTTTATAAATCATAATTTTATAAATTATTGTAGATTAAATAAAATAATATTTTAATAGATAAAAATAATTTGAATGATGATACTATTTTTTTAAGTCAATTATCAAAATTCTAAATTTCTAATTTAAACTTCTAAAAATCTAAAAGTTTTTTTTTTTAATTTTGACATAGTATTTTTAATAGTTTATCATATTTGTCCAAGAAATATTATCTTAGAGGGAAAAGTTTGACCTTATAGCATTAAGGGACAGTTTTTATAAAACAAATTATAGGATAAAGATTAAATAATATAATACTATCCCAATTTAAAAAAATAATTGTATTAATTCATGTGTTTTAATACTTACCTAAATAAATTCAATGTAAAGTTAAATGGCCACGCAGATCTTCTAGAATTTTGTTGGGTATGATATATTATTTAATAATTTTAAAGTGAATTAAACTTTTAAATTATTTTTACTTATAAATCATGGGTATCGAGTTTAAGGATATTAAAAAAAATATATAAATATCTAGTCATTAGAATTTATAGTCAACATTTTAGAGTGTGTGAGAGTTGATTTTAAAGAGATTATACATATTCTTAAGAAAAAAAGAGGGAAAATATTTTTAAAAAATTGTTTTTTTACGAGAAATTTTTTAGTTTGCTTATTTGAATAACAAATATATTAGTGAATAATCACACAAATTTTCAAGCCAGCTATATTAATACTAGTATTAATTATATAGAAAACAATAGAATTGAATTGAAATAAATAGATGAAGTGATTTGAGATTTTTACCTTTTCCAAGGAAATATTCAAATTTTGATATCTCTCAGCAACATTAACATTCTCACTTGTTATGATATCAATTTCGTCTCTAGGTTCCTCCCTATGCATGATTCAACCATATAATAATAAGATCATGAAAATTTAGAAATTTCTAGACATTTTGAATTAATAAAATATTAAATAAAATAAAATAACCAAAAGTATTATATAAAACATTATTGTTTTTTATACAGAATAAATTAATTTAATAAAAATAATTTCTCATTAAGTAGAACTAAATAAAAAGTATGAAATGGGTGCATAGGGAAAAACTTGGGAATTGTAGATTCAAAATCACAAATCATTTGTTCTTCAACAGCATCATTGTCTCCATTCAATAAAGAACTGAAAGTGACTTGATCCGGCAACCTAAAAAGTAAAAATATGTTTTTTTTATATTTTTACTAATTGAATAATTAATTAAAATCCACAATATTATTAATTTGATAACAAATAAGGGGAGCCATACACCATTGATGTGTTGATAGCATCATTTCCTCCCTCTTGATTATGTAAATCTTCTATGTTTGAGTTTAATCCCTTCTGACAAAAAATATATCAATTAAGTGTTAAAATAAATAAATTAACAAATAAGTAAATATAACTTATTAGGATCTATAATTTTTGCAATTCTCTCCCCTCAGATTTTAACGCATTTATATATTTAATGCATTTGTGGTCATTGAATTGAGATTGAATTAAGATCAAATTGTCAATTAAAAAAAAGTTAGAAAACCGCTTTTGATTATTTAAACATTCCCTAAATCAATTGATAAGATGTATCTAAACAAAGTTTTGCAATTATTATTTTCAATTAAATTTAATTGTCTCAACTATTTTAACATTTTGCTTTATATAAAATAATAAGACATAAATATATAACAATAATACATTTTACATTACACAAAAACTTTGCATTGAATTGTTTACTATCAATCTTTCTCTTTTTCTCTCTACTTGCATTTGATTCAAAAGTATGATTTTTAATTTTTAAATTATAATTTAAGATATAAACTTAACTTTAAACAATTTGATATCGAACACCAACTAATGCACCGAATGTATGATTACGTGACCGCTGCTGCAATAAATTCTCAGATCTCAAAATTTCATAAATTTCATATGAAAAAAATATGCTTTGGTATAAACAAATAAATACATGAATAAATCTAAATGTACAAGGATATTTGTTTTTATAAAAAAAATTGAATAAATACTTACTAGGTTTTCCATGAGGTGCAAGCTGCTACCACTTATTCAAGGCTATTTAGTGTTTTGGAATTATTGAAGAGCTTTAGCAATAAAAGGCTGGAGTTGTTTGGAATAAAAACATGTATATATAGACAATCCAAGTTGAGATTACAAAGAAAGATAAATTTTCAATCATGAAAAGAAAGACCAAAAATATAATTATTTAACATTACAAGGAAATAAATATATATTAAGATTATTTATTTAATTATTTCCTTGAAAAAATAACATTAAAATTAATAAGTACTTTGAATATTGTGCGGTTTTGTTAAAAATTAAAAAATCAATATTAAAAATTATCAGTGATATTTATCTAGCTAATACAAATAATATTAATATATTCTTTTAAAAAAAGAAATATTTATTAATTAAAAAGATATTAATAATTATTTTACAACTGTCTTCGAGGGTATTTAACCTCATTCTTTAAGAATAAACATATTATAGAGATTAGAAAATTCAAAATATAACATAAAAATTGAATGCAAAAGTTAAAGTTTGAAATAAATTAATAAAGCAAATGTATCTTATCTTTGTATTAATTAATTAATTATTTTTACCTTATTTTTATAAATCAGATTTTTATTAATTAATAAAAATAAATTAAGTATTATTTTAATAAATAGTTTGACTGAGAAATTAAATAAGACTTAAATTATTAAAATACAACTTTTCAATTTTAACTATTAAACGTTGAAACTAGAGGACGTGTCAGATATTGCTCAAGTTAGAGGAGGTTCCCTGCCTCCTAAACGGATTAAGACCAATGTGTTTTTAGTTGTTAAGGAAAGTCTTGACACCTTCTTTCTGATGATGGGAATGGTTTTTGATTTTCTTGTTCGTTTCAATTCTCTTTCCTTTGGAATTGTTGAAGATTCGAGCATTGGTCCCTAAGGTTGATGCATAATAGGTTGTTGGTTTGAGGTCTCTCGACCGTCAATTCATGCTTGTGGAGTGTACTCTTTATATGGACGCGTTGATGGCATTGAACTTCCATTTTCTTGCTCTTGGTTGTACTCAAATATTGAGGGAGGCGTAACTCAGTGGCGATTTAGAGCGGGAAGATCAAAAGCTCCAAAGGATATTGAGACTCTTCTGCAGGTTCATATCAATTCGAATGAAGCTAATATATTATTGATGTAGTGTGATGAAGAGCTTCATCATTCTCACAAAGATTTGAAAACAATTATTGAGAATCATCGGGAGATATATAAGTACTTTATGGATCATATCCAATTCTTTGATGAAAAAAAATGAGGCCGAGGCTTAGGTGGCCATCAGTATTGAAGAAAATATGATTTGGGAGATCCAAATTTTGGCTTCAGAGATATAGCTTGTTCCCTCAAGAACAAAAATGTCCTCTTGAAAATGTACTATGATAAGTTTAGATTTGAAGGACCAACAAAGTAGTTTGTTTCACTGGTTTTGAAAAATATGGAATTGAGGAGGTTCATTAGAAGACATGTCTTCAAAATAAAAGAAGATCTCCGACTTGATCTCTAATATTTTTTGGCTTTGAAAAATTTGTTATGAGTATAGGGTAGGGGCTAACTCTGTTGGCGTTAAAGACTTTGATAACGCCATTTCTAAAATTAGGTTTAAAACCCTAATGTTGTTCTAGTAACTATTGGCCTAGATGTTTGTAAAGTAGTGAAGTCTGGTCATATAAAATGATAATGATGGTGCATTTTTGTATCCGTAAAAGGAGTCCACTATGGCGGAAATTATAGGACGCCCAAGAATAGGAGATAACATGTCACCCAAAGGAGAGATACCACCTCGCCTCCAAAAGTCTTCCTATCGCCCAAGCATGGGAAACGTGGGCAGAGACGTTCCTAGTGCATAAATAAGTCAAGGTCATTAATGACCCATAACCTTCTTGGAAATAGGGATTCAATAGTTCACCATTAGCTGAGTGGGCGGTGACCCTTTCTAAGAGAACCCTAGGCCTAAAATATCTCTATAAATACACCTCCTTAAAGGGAGGAAAGACATATGATTATACCCTAAAGTGTAGTGCTTAGTCAAGTCATAACTTATACTGATCAACATTATTGGTTTTTAAGTGTGACTAAGACAAAGCTGAATAAAGTGGATTGTAGATTTTTATTCTCTTATGCGATGATGTTCTAATTTTTATGGTTTTTGTATGAATATGAAAAAGGTAAATGCAGAAAAATTAATAACACCAGATATATCCTGGTTCCCCTTACAATCCGAGAGTACTCCAGTCCCCTTTCAACACGAAAGAGATTTCACTTTAGTCAGAATTATTGTTTAACCTATCCACATCAAGTGGAATGCTTACTATCTAACCTATAGGGAGATCAAAGACTCTTAAAACCTTTAAGATCTAAACACTAAGTGCAAGAAGAATAATACTCTTCAATGCACGCACTTGTTTCCAACAATCCTGAAAATAAATTAACCAATACAAAGTAAAAAGAGAATAATCCTCCCTTAACACGCTCTTGCTTCTAACAATCCTGGACAACAAGGTTACACCACAATTACTTTGGAAGAATGATTAGAAACAAATTCTTGAAGTAGATATAAAAGTTTATAATCAATGTCAATACCAAATATTGATCTCTTCTCTTTGAAGACAACAATTTAATGAATATATTACACAAGTGCTAAATGCATATGATGAAACTTTTCTAATGATGTATTTCAAAATGTAAGAGTAAAAGTTTCATGCAAGATCAAAATGTTAATCAACGCACTTGTTTGAAAATGAGATACAAATTATTGTATTGTATGTTGTGATTGTTTGTTGTTGTTGTCTTAATTTGTATCAGAAATGAAAATGAAATTTGTACATGTAATTCACCCTTTCAAAAGTTTCTAAATGCATGGAAGAGTATAATGGTTCATGGCCAAGAGAAGAAAACCAACAACATTCATAATAGAAATTTTTTTCAAAAATGTTTACTCGGTAAACGGTTACGAGCCTACATTAACCGGTTACTCAGTTCAAGTAACGTTCAAAAAATTCAAAAACACGAAGTTGTAACCGGTTAGCAGAATGCAGTAACCGGTTAACACTAAACGAAAATAGTTTTCCAGAAATATTTCAAAGCATGCAGCCGGTTACCCATAACCAGTAACCAGTTACTACTATTATGGAAAGTGAAAAACATTTTAAAATACTTGGAAATGCAATGTTAGTGTTCTTAAAGCCATGAAACATGTATGCAAAATGTTTAGACATATTTTGAGCACTATAGTAACATACTATATTGAATTGGAGTCTTATACCATATTGAAGATCAAATACCAAAGTCTTCTTTAGGAGTAACTTAACATGCAAGCCAAAAGTTCATTTTGAGTAGATACTTTTTCTTCTTCGTTTTGATAATTACTTTTGCCTTGATCATGATGCTTGTAATCATCAAAACATAAACTTGCTGAAGCATGACTCTACATTCTCCCTCTTTTTGATGATGACAAAGACTTGTTATGTGAAATGCTTTGGATCGCTTGAAAATGCAATATGCTCCCTGTTGTACCCCAAAATTTGCCCTCCCATATTTCTCAAAACATTTCAAGAAAATTCACAAGTCCAACCTGGCGCGTTATATTCAGGTGTTCTTTCGCCAAGATATCTCTGATAACATATTCTCAAATTCAGGTTCGGCTCAAGAGTCAATTCTTTAAAGAAGGTATCCGAATGTGTGAGTTTTCTTGAAGAAATATAGTGAAAAAGTGTGCTGAAAGTGCAGTTTTTACGCGCTAAAAAATTCATAACTTGAAGATCGTGGCTCGTTTTGAACCCGTTCAGGTGGCCAAAATTCCGTCTTGACATTATCTACGTTTTCATCTCTCACGGCTGGAAGCCAATTTCGATCAGAAGGTCTTCAAAAATGTGGATTTATCAAGTATTTTCGTGCAGAAAATTTGTGACAGAAGTTTATTTGCGTCATGTTCAAAAAATCATAACTTGGTCGATTTTCATCGTATCGAGCTGGTTCCGGTGCCAAGATTTCACAAATTGAGTTGGCTACATTTTCACAGAAGGTATTGAGTTCAAACGGTATTCAAAAGGCCTTCGTTTTTTGCTCAGAGTGCGTGACACGCTGAAAATCCTGAATGCTGAATATTATTTCATCTGAGCCGAAACTTCGAAAATTCATAACTCGGTCAATTTTTATCGGATTGGACTCATATTTTTACACAAGGTCACTGACTCATAGATCTACAACTTTGCTTCAAAAGTCGAG